GTACTGACAGTGAAGAGAAAAGCCTCTTTCCTTTCTGCATGAAGCTCAAGTATTTTCTATGTTTGAACTTCAGTAGAAATTGCACAGGGTTTCACAATGAAACAGAAATTAAATGAAAGAGGTTGAAAAAATGGGATTGAAGATAGAAAAAATGAATGGCTCTTTTCAGAATCCATAATAGCCTTTTGGATTTTGCTACAGCACTGTGTTGTATTGACCAGGCTCTTGAAAATTTTCTCTATCTCTGGCATATCTGACACTGAATAGTTCACATTTTCTTCATGAGTACCCCCCATTTTTGTGTGTGTGTGTTCGGTCCATCTTTTTCTCCTCTCACTTCTTAGTGTTAATGAACTATAAAACTCTAGGTTCACATTGTCCATTGTATCTCCTATATACATTAGGGCAGATGGCTTGCTTACTAGATTTCGGTGATCTTAATATTATTTCCAAATCTGACCAATCTCGATTTTATAGTTGCATGATAAAAAACAAAAACTACAAAGCCTATGCGGGTCTGTTGCCATGATAGAACAATCTTGTTTAACCTATTAGACTGTTCCTCAGACATGTGCACATTGCAAATTCTGTGTACATAGCCAAGAGAAATGCAGACCAAGTGTGAGCATGAGATGTCATAGCATCATTGTTCATGATAGTCAGAAGTCAAAAACAGCCAAAATGTCTCCCAGTAGATGAGTAGATAATGAAAACATAAAATGTCTATACAATGGAGTATTATTTGGCAACAAAAGGGAATTAAGTTCTCTTTCATCCTACAATATAAATGACTTAAAAAAAACATGTGTTGACAGAAAAAAGACAATCACAAAAGATAACATATTGTATTGACAAACTTATGTGAAATATCCATACTAGGAAAATCTATAGATACAGAAAGTAGATGAGTACTTGTCCACAAAGTAAATAAATGGGGGGAAAATGAGGACTGACTGTGAATGAACTTGGGATTTCTTCTTGCAGTGAAAAGAATTTCTCTAAAAAAAACTGTATTCTGGGTTTCACAACTCAAGGAACATACCACAGAATACTGAATTGTACACAGTCTGTGAATTATCCCAACCAAAAAAGAACAAATGCTCATCAAACAATAAAAAATCTTATTTATTCAGCCATCTCGCTAGCTCTGAAGAACTAGGCAATCCAGAATTGATAACTATTTCAGAAATAACTATCAAAAATTTAATGAACGGATTCTCCCACTACTTTTGACCACAAAAACACTCCAGACATCCCCTTCAAAAAATTCCGTGAATATTATCAAAACATTTCAGAATTTTATCTGTAATGGGAAAAGTAGATACTTATGCATAAAATTAATGTCTGTGGAGTGATAAGGAGCTTATAGACAGCTTTGAGTTTTCAGGTTATGCACAAACCTCTCTACTTTCTGCTGCCTTGCTTTGGGGAAGAGTGAATGTCTCTCAGAATCATTGCTTTAGTTAGCCACAGAGGAAGAAATAGGGAATATCAGATCATATGTAATTTTGTGGAGATACATATGTAAATACTACTGACCTAAAGTGCAGCAGCAATCTTTCTGAAAAATTTAATTAGTACTAATCAACAAGAACCTCCACAATTTTTAGAGTATTTTGTATCCTTTTTTGTTTTCCTTAAAAAAATTGTGAATTCTAGAACTTGAACTCAGGACCTGGGTGCTGTTTTTGTTCAAAGCAAGTGCTCTACCACTTTGAACCCTGACTAGATTCTAGCTTTTTGCTGATCAATTGGAAATAAGAGTCTCACATACTTTCCTGCCTTTGTACCACACTCCTCAAATCTCAGCCTTCTGAATGGCTAGGATTACAGACGTGAGCCACAGGGTCCCAGCACAATTTCTAGTGTTTATTCTGTATACCTGAACTCTCAGTCAAACAAAATCTCTTTCTGCCTTTCTAACTTTCTTCTGAAGTTTGGCATCTCAACCCTTTCCCTCTACTGTGACTTTCTCTGCCATATGCTGTCTTGGAGCTTACTAGATTTTCTCCTTGGAGCAAAGTGGCAAGCCCACTTGAGTACTAAACTGTCCATAATGCCTTCATCACATTGCCTATTTGATGTTCCTATTTCTTTTAACTATCTATACTGTTAACATTGTATCTATCTGAATTCCGAATTCTATATTGAGAGTCTTTGAAGATATTTACTTATGTTAGAGGAGAAACAAATTTAGCAGTGTAACTGGACTGTTTTCTTCAAAGCTCTAAAAGCTGTCACTTGTCAAGGGCTTCACAATTAAAACCTGTACAGTTTTATATGGACACTTTCTCAGAAAACAAACACTGTAGAAATTAAAGCAGCAGATTTGGAGTTAAAATGTTTCTGGCCTTGGCATTATTCACTGGTTGCATGTATGAGTTGCTTTCCTTCCTCTGCTTATTTCTTTGATATGAAAATACATACACATCAGCTAGCACAATCATAGTTGTGGTGATTGGATAAAAGCAGCTGCTTTGTAGTTACTGTGAGGGGAAAAAGCTATGTTTTAGTAGTAGACATGAAATCGATATTATTTTATATGCCGAGGTTATTTTGAGCCAATAAAGTAAAGGATACTTATTTTTATTTACAGGAACCAGAGTTTCAACCCAATTCATATGTAATGATGCAGGGCCTTAAAAATAGAAATGTATTTTGCAGTCAAGTGTGTACTGCAGCTTAAGAGGTGGTTTTATAATTAATGTAATCTGAAATTTTTTAATAAACAGTATTAAACATGGACTGCTAACAGTGCACAATTGGTAACTTATTTCTCTTTATAATAGTGCTTTTAGTATTCTGTTGAATTGCAGCCAGTGGATATGCAATATTCTGTGATGCCATTATGGGGGACTGTGAATATTACAGTCTCTCCGCTGTCAGTACTGCACATTCAAAAAATGCTGGGAGCAACAGCAGCTTTTATCAACAGGGAGCCATCTTAATTATTTGAAATGTGCCTCATAAGAGGAATCAGCAGAGTTTATTACAAGTCGAATATTACTTGAAATGGGAAGGTTACTCTAACTGTTATCATAATCTATGTATCATTAACTTTCCTTGTTTAGGAAAAGAGATTAACAGCCCTGTAAATGGCTATAGTAAATGCGTGAAATATAACTACATATTCCCATGTAGCAAGAAAATGGTGCATTCTCCTCTTCTACCCCAATCTTTTCTATATAAAATGGCTTTTGAAAATGAACTGACTCTGTAATTGTGCTTTCTTGACTCAAAATCCTAATTGCTTGCTGGATCATAGTCTTGCTATGTTCTCTAAACTGGTCTCAAATAAACTAACTTAAAAAAAATCACCATGTTGGCTTTCAAATCAGCTTGCTTTTTTTTTTTGTCAGTTGTGGACTTGAACTCAGGTCCTTGCCTCTGTCCTGAGCCTCTAGAGGTCTGTCAAGACTAGCACTCCACCACTTTGAGCCACAGCTCTACTTCTGGTTTTCTGGTGGTTGATTGGAGATAAGAATCTCATGGACTTTCCTGCCAGGGGCTGACTTTGAACCATACACTTACATCTCAGCTTCCTGAGTAACTAGAATTAGAGCTTGAGTGATTCAAGTGTCCAGCAGCTTTAGCATTTTTAGCTCACCTAACAAAAGTATATCTCAAGTAAGTGTGATGAGCAGATTAAATGCTTCGCAAGGAATCAGGAAAGAATTCATCACCTTACTTTTTAAATTGTGTTTAGCTCTTCTTTTTCCATCCAAAGCAATAAAAAAATGTTAATTTTTTTTTACTCAGATAATGGAAGAAAATCCTCAAGGTAATATATAATATGAAATACATAATACATAATATGTAAGAATACTTCCAAACACTAGAAACACAGAGTAATGTCTGTTTAACAATAAAAAGCAGTGTATCTGTATATCTTTGAGGTCTTCTCTTTCTTTCTTTTTTCCCCCCATAAAACCATTGGTTTGTAGTTGATTTTTTGGTTGTTGTTGTTGAAGATCAAACCCAAGGCCAACCGTTTTTCTATTTTTTTTTAATTTTAAGTTTATTGTCAAAGTGATGTAGAGAGGGTTACATAAGTAAGGTAGTGATCACATTCTTGTCTAACTTGCTACCCCTACCTCATTTTACTCCCTCTTTCCTTCCCCCAATGCCCCCCCCAAATTGTTCAGATCATTTTCAACATATTGTCTTGTGAGCATCCCTGCTGTATAGATTCCCCTTTTGTCCTTTGTAATCATTGTTTTGTTTCCCTTCCATAGTTCAAATAAAGGTATATACAATATCCAGGGTACCAAAATCAAATACAGTAACAACAGGGGATAAACTATAGGGGAAACACACACACACACACACACAAAATAAATAAAACACATAGTCCATTGAGAACAACAACAACAAAGAAAAATCTCTTGTGCCCATGTCTTGGAATTCATTTTACTTAGCATAATCTCATATGGTTGTATGTACATAGCTATTGAGCTATTCTGCTCATCTGCTAAGATCATCCTAGATCTAAACTAATTATTACAAATAAGGGAAACCATGGGACCTATGTTTCTCTGGGTCTGGCTTACTTCAGTTTATATGATTTTCCCAAGTTCTTCCATTTCCTTACAAATAAGATGGTGTCATTCTTTCTAATGGAAGCATAGAATATATAGATATGTACATGTATATGTATACATATATATCACATTTTCTTGATTCATTCATCTACTGAGGGGCATCTAGGCTGGTTCCATATAGTTATGGAAAATAAAACACATAGTTATTTTATAACTTAAACCTGAAAGAAAATTTAAAACTGTGATTAGAGAAAGCACTGACCTAATTAGGTGATATTTGAATGGAACATTTTGTGTTTATGATTGGACATATGTGTCCGTATTTTAGCTATTAAATCAATATGAAGTAAGATAATATGACATCATTAAACCAAAAGATATAAAAAGATGTTGCTGCAATGCTTTCTTCGTATATATATGTATATATGTAAATATAATTTTTTTGGTGTGTCTCCACAGGACAGGCACATCATGGACAAGTTTCTTACATCTCCCCACCAATTCACCTGGACTCTGAGCTAGAAAGACCCCCTGTGAGAGGTGAGGAATGCTTTATATAAAGAAAAGAAACAAATTGAGATTGAGTGAGGGTACTTAAATCATGTGTGGTTATGTATGTATGTATGTGTTTATTTATTATTTATTTATTTATTGCAGTGGGACTTGAACCCAGGGCCTCATTTGTACTAAATGCATTACTACCATTTTAACTATGTTCTTTGTTTTTGAGAAAGGTTTCTCTCTCTCTCTCTCTCTCTCTCTCTCTTTCTGGGTCTGGCTTTGAATTTTTCATTCTCCTGCTTCTACATTCTACCAGGTAGTTCAGTATTACACAAATAAACCACAGAACCATTCTCCTTCACTCTTCTATTTTGTTTTTTCTTTTCCATTTCTCAGTGAATGTCATATTAATTATTTTAGCCTTGGAAATTAGTATTCTCTTATTCTTTTCAAAAGTCATTTTAATATTAATGCAATCATTTTTCTTTAAAGTCATACCAACTATTTTTTAAATTCATACTTATTTCATTTCAAGATGGAAAAAATAAACATACCAACTAAAAACTGGAAGGTACATTTCTGGGTTTTCAATTCTATTCCATTGGTCCTGAGGTCTCTTCTTGTGCCAGTGCCAAGCTGTTTTGATAACTATGGCTTTGCAGTAGAGTTTGAAATTTGTATTGATATTCCTCCAGCACTGTTTTTTCTGTTAAGGATCATTTTTGCTATTTGGGATCTTTTATTGTTCCATATGAATGTTTGGATTGCCTCTTCTATTTCCTTGAAGAATGAGGTTGGTATCGCATTGAATTTGTAGATAGCTTTGGGAAGTATTGCCATTTTCATGATGCTGATCCTTCCAATCAAGGATCATGGGAGGTTTTTCCACTTTCTAAGTTCTGTTTTGATTTCCTTTTTCAGAGTTTTAAAGTTTTCCTCATAGAGGTCCTTCACTTCGTTGGTTAAGTTAATTCCTAGGTATTTTATTTTTTGTGGGGAAGCAGAAATAGTCAGATAAGTTGATGTTAAGCAAAATGAACCCCAAGATAAGGACGCAAATTTTTTTTCCTTGCTTACTATTGTTTCTAATATATTTATAAGATATTTCTTTGTTGCTTTGTATGTCCCTCCCTCACGGTATAACCCCTGTTTTCACTGTATTTGAGATTGGTATAATTTGTGGAGGGGAAGGGAAAAAACAAAATTTTTAAATAGGGATACAAGTGGACTCATTGCAACAGAAGATGTTATGTTAAAAGTGAACTTTACAATTCTGGGGCTAGTGGGGAGGGGGAGATGGGAAGGAATGGGAAGGGATAGGAAGGGGAAACAATGGAGGAGGCAACAATGCTTGATAAGAAATACACTCATTACCTTGCCCATGTAATTGTAACCCCTCTGTATGGTATTTTCACAATAAAGACAAGAGAGACAGAGATAGAGAGAAAGAGAGAGAGAGAGAGAGAGAAACTGATAGGTAACATTTACTAACTTAATGAATACATACAAAGTTTATTATTTATTATTAATTTTATCATCTCTAAGTAGTTTTACAAAGGAGGTACCATATAACAACACAGTTTATGAAGACAGCACATCTTGATATGCTTCATCCCCTTAATATTCTCATCCCCACCCCTTCAACTCATTCCTTCCCTTACTTTTCTTAGTTTTTGCCATATACAATGAATGCTTGACAATATTCTTCCCTACCAGGTTAGAGACATGCTTGATTCATAGTATGAGATCCTCAGTTGTTTACAGTTCTTTATTTTCTTTCCTTCTTTTTCTCCTTGGTTTATCCCCTTTGGTCACTGTGTTTGATGTTGGTACTCTTTTTCTTGTATGTAAGTTTAACTGATTTGAGGATGTGAAGGGGAATTAGACATGGAGAGACAACGTACAAAAGGAGAATCAATGCAACAGGGATACTTACAAGACATGATGCTGGAAATGAGCCTTACAGCATGGCATGGAGTTAGGGGAGTTGTAGAGAGAGAAAATGGGGAAGGAGGGAACAATATTTGACAAGAATTATACTCATTCCCTCACTTATATAAGTGTAACCTCAGTACACCAACTGTATTAAAAAAAAACTTAATTTGTACTGTAAAAACAAAATCAAAAACAAAAACAAAAAACCTACTCATGATTTTCAAACTGTTTCATTGACAGAATTCAAAGGTAATACAATATAGACATGTCTTCTGGTTTGATGAATACCAAGTATTTCAATGTTTTTTTTTCAGTTTTCAGTTTCGTTTTCTTCTCATTTCAAAAATAGCAATGACTTCATAACTCTGACCTCCAGCCCATCCTACAAGTTTCCACCGGTGTTGTCAAGGCCCAGGGTTGTCTTCAATTCCTTTCATTGCCTTCCTCCCTGTGTCCTAGGGAGGACTTCTGTGTGAGTTTCTCATGTCCCCAGTGTGCTTTGTTCCTCTCAGCTCTTGTACCTCAAACACTGTGATTTACTTTGCAGAATACACATTTCTCTTTTATCCTCAAGGACAGAGATACTCAGAATAAGTATTTCTTCCACAGTCATTGGTCTGTGCTCATTGAATGATGGCAGACAGGTATGGGGCTGTAACTTCACTACTTCAGAGTAAAGATGACAAGGAAATGTGGAGTGTGTCCGTGGCAGCACTTTGTAATATCTACCATATAGCATACCTCAAAGAATTCATTGATGATAGACAGAAGATGGGTAGGAGCCAGCTAGACAGTTAAATAGAGAAGATGGATGGATGGATAGATAGATAGATAGATAGATAGATAGATAGATAGATAGATAGATAGATAGATAGATAGATAGATAGATAGATAGACAGACAGACAGACAGACAGGCAGAGAAATAAGAATGACTAAGAGTTTAGATTTTGCCATTTTTACTAATCTTCATACATACTATTATTTCAGGAATTATTCTTTTATATATTCATTAATTCTCACGTTTTGAACTTAGTAATATTCTTTATAAGAAAATCATACTAAATATTCTAGTATTCGTTAGCCTGTCAATCTAAAACAAAACTGTTTAAAATATGGAGGTGTAGTTAACAAGATTAGCTGAGGGTACTTTTCCATAGTAAATATAAACTAGCATATACTAACAAGAAAAACTTATTCAGATTCTTTTTTTTTTATTGTGACCATACTGTACAGAGGGGTTACAATTACATGGGCAAGATAATGAGTATATTTCTTATCAAGCATTGCAGCCTCCTTCTTTGTTTACACTTCACATCCCTTCCCAGCCTCCCCTCAGCCCCCCACCAATCCTTCCTCCCCCACACCAGAGTTGTAAAGTTCATTTTCGACATGACAACTTGTACTTCTCATTGTTGCAATGGGTCCACCAGTATCCTTAAACGACTTGTTTTTCCCCATATCCTCCACATATTATACCAACATCAAATATAGTGAAAGCAGGGATTATACTATGGTGGAGGGACATACAAAGCAACAAAGAGATAATCTTATAAATGAGTTAGAAACACATGCATGAAAGAAAAAAATTTTAATATATATCTAAGGGTTCATTTTCCTAATATCACATTATCTGACCTTTTCTGCTTGACTCATACATATACTAGATATTGCAAATAAGGGAAACCATGGGACCTATGTTTCTTTGGACTTGGCTTTACTTCACTAAATGGGGCACATTTTCTTGATCCATTCATCTACTGAGGGGCATCTGGGTTGGTTCCATATCTTAGCTATGGTAAATAATGCTGCAATAAACATAGTTGTGCTGGTAGCTTTAGTGTGGTCTTGTTTGTAAACATTTGGGTAAATGCCCCAAAGTGGGATTGCTGGGTCATAGGGGAGCTCTATGTGAAGTCTTTTGAGGAACCTCCATACTGCTTTCCAAAGTGGTTGGACAAGTTTACATTCCCACCAACAATGAAGTAAGGTTCCTTTCTGTCCACATCCCCTCCAGCATCTGTTGTTATTAGAGTTCTTGATTTTTGCCATTCTAACTGGGGTGAGGTGGTATCTCAATGTTGTTTTGATTTGCATTTCTTTTATGGCTAGGGATGTTGAACATTTCTTCATGTGTCTATTGGCCTATTCTTTCTTCTTCAGAGAAGTTTCTCTTTAAGTCATTAGCCCACTTATTTATTGGACAGTTGTTTCTTTAAGGATTTGTTGTTGGGGGATTTAATTTTTTGAGTTCCAAGTATATTTTAGATATGAGACCGTTGTCTGTTGTATGGCTAGTGAAGATCTTCTCCCAATCCGTGGGCTTTCTATTGATCTTGCTAGCTATGTCCTTTGCCTTGCAAAAGCTCTGCAACTTCATGCAATCCCATTTGTCCAACCTTTCTTTGATTTTTTGTGTTTCCGGGTCTGTATTAAGAAAATTTCGGCCTGTGCCAAGGAGACCTAGTGTTTCTCCTATTCCATCCTATAATGATTTCAGAGTGTCTGCTTTGACTCCGAGGTCTTTGATCCATTTGGAGTTAATTCTGGTGCAGGGTGATATATAAGGATCTAGCTTTAGTTTTCTACAAGTAGTTAACCAATTTTGCCAGCACCATTCACTGAAGAGGCTCTTTCTTCCATTCTATTTTTTAGCTCCCTTATCGAAGATTAGATGGCTATAGGTCTGTGGGTTCATTTCTGGGTTTTCAATTCTATTCCATTGGTCCTGAGGTCTGTTCTTGTGCCAGTACCAAGCTGTTTTGATTACTATGGCTTTATAGTAGAGTTTGAAATTTGGTATTGATATTCCTCCAGCAGTGTTCTTCCCGTTGAGGAGCGTTTTTGCTATTTGGGGTCTTTTATTGTTCCATATGTTATTCAGATTCTTTTATTCAAGTTTTATATGTCTTTTGTTACTTTTGATACTTTATAATTTCAAAACCTCTGTGTGTGTGTGCGTATCTAGGTGTGTGTGTGTGCATGCACACACACATGCACACACTTCTCATTTCATTCTCCTTTTTTTGTGTCCTCCCACCTGAGTCATTTGAGGTTTCATCCAGTCTCATTATCCCACCTTCTGTCATTGCCACTGGGTTTTGTT